GGCAGTCTTTTTCTAGAATATATATTTCTCATATTAAAAGGAAGAACTTTCAGGTTTTTAGGTATTCATAGCATAAAATATCTGAGTTTATTTTTATATATATATTTATATATATAAATATATTTTTTTTATAAATGAAAAAAGTGTGTGTAATGAAAGTATGAGGAAGGGTGTTCACCTAAAATGTTAACCTCTGAAATGGCTACTGAGTTAATATTATCTTATTCCTTCACTGTGAAATTTATTTTATATTGGCGAGTACCTGCTTTCTGGATAGCCCTTATGCTAATTCATATTGGATGGTTTAATCCTGCTTCTATGGAAAGTCAGCAAATTCCTTCATCTCTATTGTAAAGTTTTAAACATGACTGTGTATAAAGCATGGACTTAAAGCAGTGTTGTGTTACAAATCATGAGTGTAATACAGACTGTTGTGACCCTGCTTCAAATGATGCTTATCACTTACTGCTGTTTCACTGTAAAAGATCAGAGGAGGAAAAAAGGATACTGGTGTGAAAGTACTATTTTGTTATCAAATGCATTGTTTCAAGATGGATATATGTGTGCTTGTGGAAATACCAAGACTAGGAAGTCTGTTTCAAGTAAGTCTGAAGAAAACACTTAATTTTGATAATATTTTAGTTTTACAACCCAGTGGTCTGTTAATGGAGGTGAGGTGAATGGGATATTAGTTGAAAAAGCCGTTTGGCATGGTTCTCTGTAGGCCTGCCCGAGCACGTGCGCACGCACAGACGCGCACACACAGACACTCGTGTGTCCCCTTTCCCCAAGAGTGCCGGGAGCAAGAAATATACCCAAGCTGTCTAGTCTTGTCTTCTCTATCTGCTGGGAGTGTTTTATATCCTACCTGTGTCATCCCCTGAAATTCTGTGGATCCCATTGCTGCTGTGTTTTTTTTTTTTTTTTTAATAAAGGTAATAGTTTTACTTTTCATGGCACACCTGGATAAAATTGTTAATTTTGTAATACCTCTTCAGGGTCAACTTTAATATGGGGAAACCAGACAAATCTGAAAAGAGTTGTTAGTGATTCATCAGACTGGGAAGATTTGAAACACACTGGCAGAATTCAGCCTCTGTGTTCTGACTTTTTGCTCTGGACACTGTTACTAATTCTCTTTATGTGTCCAGAATTTTACAGGTTTTGTCTCATCTTTGAGATATGTCCTGATAGTTCTTGTGTTTCTAGTTTGGCTATAATCTGTATGTATTCTCAATACGGCATGATTTTCGGAATTCAAGGGGGATCACTAAATGCTACGGCCAATGTAATGTCTACCTCATTTTTTTTTAACGTTTGTATGCTATTAGTAACCAATGTGAATCTTTGAAATTGCTTGAATTAAAAAAAAAAAAAAAATTAAAAAAAATTAAATTAAAAAAAAAAAAAAGTTCTGTGCATGAACTAATCCTGGATATTCAGTTTGGAAGATAAAATACCTAACAAGCATTAGTAATCCAGAAATGAAGGCAAAGATTCTGTGAAAGCAGAACCTTAAAATTTTTCTAAATCTGGATCATAAGCATGCACTTAGCTGGTTTTTTTTTTTTCCTGTAAAATAGCAACAAGATACAAAACAACACTTCTGCTTTGTTTTACCAGACCTTCTGTGACAAATGACTTTTTTCTGTCGCCAGATGTATTTCATCTTCTGAGATGAGATTTGATTAGTTCACGGCACAAGTAATTGATCCAGTTCAGAAGCTTGTTTTTTCTATTTTTGTGTGTGAACTCTGAACAAACTACAGTTCTCTTTGATCATTTTGAGAGATGACTTTTAAACATGTGCAGTGTTAATCTTTTAGAATGTCCCTTAAAAATTATTTTGGAGCGCATTAGCTCTTTATTCTTTGATTTCTACAATGATGATGCAGGAGCACTACCTGAGTTAACTTGCTATGTATCACAAACGGTACATTTGTGGAAAATGGAAGAAGCGTTGTGACCAAATGTGCATAGTGCTGCATTACTTGTTCAAAACTTGTCACATTAAAACAAACAATCCCCACCGCCTTCCCCCCCAAATTACTATTGCAGTGTTCTAAATCTTTATGAACATTTTGCTTAATATGCTGAGGAGACCGATTCCTTCCTCCAACCTTCTTTCCTCCAAAAGAAGTTCTGTTTTGCTTGAACATGTAAGCTTGACCACTGGTATCGCAAGGTGAGCGAGAAGAGCAGCCTCTTTAAAGTAATAAGCATGATCATTTAGCATATTAAATGTAGTGATTTCCTTGTATATGTTTCTTTAAACTTTGAATATGCTGAAAGATAAAAATTGAAACAGTGGATATATGTTTAGCGTTCCCCTAACAGGAATACAGAGCTTACAACATGTACATTACTTCCAGAGTGATTTCTGAAAGATGTTGAATGATATCATTGTCTTTTGAAATTCCGTTTTCACCCCTCCCATACAATTAACCACTCTCATCTTGAATTTGTTTGCTACTGACTTCTCAAGCCGCTGGGCAGAGGAGAGAGACTGATAGGTTTGTTGGTCTATTGCTAGGGAGAAGTCAGTGAGGAAGAGCAGTATGCAATCAGTTTGTGTGCGGCGCTGGGTTACCCTAAGCGTATCGCAGACTTTCTCTCTTGTATCCAGAGACTGCAGTTCTTCTCTGTGACCTGCTGTTCTTCTCTTCCTGCTGTTCATCTCCTTCCTCTGCAGCTTTCAAAGATTTATATGACTGGCTTTTATTTAAAGATGAATGCTACCGCTCCCTCCTAAATGTGGGAGATGCCACATCAGGCCAAGCTTTTCTTAAAGCTGTTAAAAAGTACTTGAACCAAGTGTGAGGGAGGGGGAAAGGATTAATTTCAAGTAGAAGGCTTATTCAGAAACATCTTTTATTTTAAGTATGTGAAACTTTCATTACTTGAGTTGGATCTTTTTTAGTGTTACAACAGACACAGCTACATATAGCATATAAAAAGCTTTTTGGATAAGCTGCAGTAAAACTGGTTAAAAGTAGTAGATGTGATATGCAGCAATTCTGAAGCAGCATGTATGGCAGAGAAATTACGAGGTGCAAATAGCATTATGCTCTTGTACAATACAACTGATATATTTTAAAGAAAGCATTAAAAAAAAGCATGCTTGTTCAAGGAAAACACTTCAACAGTAGAGTAATTTTGCTGTTACCAAATGTCAGTTGTTGAACTTTTGAGGCCATTTTAGTGGCTTGTTCTGTGTTTATGTATTTAACCTTTATTTTATTTATTTATATAAATATATATCTTTCTGTGATTGCCCTTATTTAAAATTGGAGTAAAGCAGCTGGGTGTTCATGTGTATGTATAAGTAATATACTTAATATTTGGAAATCTGACACAATATTCTCCTTCAAGCACTGTAACTGAAATTGATTATCAGGGTAGAAGTTTATAATGCACTTCCTGAGGTTTACACCCATGAGCAACTTCTAAAGGAATGATGCAGGTGGATGGGCAAAAGGTTTTATATTTGGTACTCAATGTGCTGAGGCTTTTTTGACTCTCACTGTTTTAAAAGTGAGCATCAGTCTTCATAATAAAGGCTATTGGGAGATTAAACTTAGGAGTAATAATACTCTAAATTTTAAGTAATTCTACTCAACTGAACTGACCACTAAATACACATTTTTAACCTTATACTTTGAACTAATTAAGAGCCAATTCTGAAACAAAACTTTAAAATAAACCTGAAGAAAGTGTCTTAAGTCTTGACACTCTGATCAGAATGACATTTTTATTTTTTAACCAGGCTGCTTATTTCTTTACTGTTGTTTTTGTTTTTCCTTTTCCCTTTTCAGTACTTTCATAGAAGGATATATATGTGTGTGTATGTATATTTTAAGGCAATCAGAAGAGAGCGTGTGGTTATGGGTGCATTTAAAAATAGTACTGTATGTCCAGTGTGTTTATCTTCAAAATATAGTGAATATAATGTGGCAGACGAGCTGCCAGTATTTTGCTGGGATTCTTTTCAGTTTTTATACTTTCCAGAAAACTCCTTTCCGTTTATAGAGAACACAAATACGTTTCTATTTTACATTAGGGATGTCTAATCTAAAGAAATAAACAGAAAAAAGCCCCTGACTTCCATCTAGAATGAATAAACCTTTCAGTGGAATTATGAAGTTCTCGCCATGCTTCTTCACATAGTAGCTCACATTTTAGAAGTACAGTTGACCCTCCTTATTTATCCTGCGCACCTTATGCGGTTTAGAATTGATGGGACTCCTTGGAGAAATCATAGTAAAATCTGTCAACAAACTCCAAGCTGTTAATGGTAAATTTTTATGTTACACATTTATGACATTTCTAGTCTTACTTATTTGGTATTTACTTTCTCCTTGTATGAAGTAAGTATTTCTAGGAAGTGATTTTTTTTTTTTCCAGGTATTTTTGATATTCTTGGTGATGGTCTTTCTAGAGAGTACTTAAGGAACTACTTTCTGCAAGTGTCAGATTATTTCCTCCCTTCTTGCTGTGCTGTATTGTAAACTTTTCAGTGACCTGGGATTATCTATTAGAATTGACTAAGATACATGTATCGGACATATACAATTCTCCCTATGAGACCTACATCTAATATTAACAAATGTGAAGAAAAAGTGCTAGTAGTGTGAGAGATTGTGACGTTCTCCTGTTGTGTATTAATACTATGATTTTTCTGGCTGTCAATCAGGAGTTGTAATCTGAGACTTAAAGTACAAATTATTTGCCTAAAATAGGGAAAATAGAGTTATAGGAAGATTGTAACTTCATAGTCATGGAAAAATTATATGGTTTATGTGCTTGATGTTCTTCTTTATTTCTGTAAAGAACAGTGGATTTGATAGTGTAGTCTAAGGATACAATGTTACAGTATGTCTCACTTCACGGGATTTTATGGTCTTACATTTGCCGATGTTAAATATAAGAAAAACACTTGTTAAACTTGCCCCCACTCCTGTACCCTCAAATACGCCTTCTCAAAAACTCTATTTATTTCCTTTGAAAGGTATTGTCTGTTTTATAACCGCTTGAAGAACATTGAGCAAAATGAAGGAGGCCTTGACAAGTTTTCAAAAAGTTACAAAACCTTTGGAGTTAACCAATTTGTGGATGGCGGAGTATATTGCAAAGAGTGGGCACCAGGAGCTGAAGCAGTGTTTCTCACAGGTGACTTCAGTAAGTATTTTCAAGAATATATATTTTTTTCTCTTAGATCAATATCTTCTTGCCTTAAATACAGTTTTACAACAATGGTAAAATTCTGATGGTAAAATGTGTCATATGGGTTGCTGATGTGATGGTAGTAATTCAAACTGTTTTTTTCTCAATATTGACCTAGACTAAGGACATGTATATTTCTGTTCTATGGTCAGTATTATGTGTGTATCTTACACACATAAAGAGGTGATCCGTTAAAAGGGTCTAGCCTGATTACACCACAGCTTCAGACTTAATGTGTCTGAATTATCTGAGGTTGTCCCGAAAGCTTTACAATTAGTCTGCTATAATACTCTGTGCAGGAATAAGGAAGATAACGACAGAATAATTGACATCTTCCTTGGTGGCTGACCTAACAGTGTTATTGTAAAGGTCCAAGGTCCTTCAGGATTTCCACTAATCATGAGAGTGTAGGTGAAGAAAATCCTACTGGAAAATGATAGCAGAAAACGGTAGGTGAACATACCCAAGAAGAGTGGGTGGTGGTCTGTCCTGAGGGAAGGAGGAGGAATGGTGTTAACAGAAGAGGAAGGTGGTAGGATTCAACAAAGGAACTGCGCTGCTTCCTCTGAGAACAGGAAAGCCATTGCCACACTTAGAACTTGAGACGAAAATGTGAATTTGTTGGTCAGCAAGGTTTGCTGTATTCAGAAATTAGTTTTTTTCTGGAAACTCTTAAAAGCAAGTCAGATAGACTTGTATTTTTAAGTCATGTAATATTAATTCCACTTTCTCTCCCTCACTTCTGTACTTTACCCCTTCTTCAGGGTTAGGTGCTATTCCATCATGCTACTAGGAATTTTGTTATTGTCTCTTACTGCACCAGGATTCCATTTGTGAAATGATAGGGGGTTTTATTCATTTAACTGTGTCTCAGAAATGCACCATGTTATTTCTGCAGCTTTTGTTTTACTGAAAATACTAAGTTGGTGAATGCCTTGGGGGGAAGAAAATACATAAAAATTCATATGCATTCCAGACTTGAGGCAGCCAACAACTATTTCTTAAGTTAAAAGATAAATTATTGCTGAGTTTTCCTTCTTCCTTATTTCTGTATGACCAAAACTATTAAAAGGGCAAACTCAGTATTTGCAAAAGAACCAGTTACAAAGCTGGAACTTTTATGTGCTTATGTAATTTTAAAATAGTAAGGCTTTTTACATGTGCCATTCACTGTAGTGAATCTGATGGTTCTTTTTAAAGTACTATGTTTTTAAAGTACAGTGGTTAAGCTTCTGTAAAAATGTGTCTAATAATAAAGAAACAAATGGACTACGCTGACAGTTTTATTCAGATCTGTTGTTAAGTATCTCTGAAAAAAAAATCTTCAAAGCATTCTGTTTAATACTGTTTTTTTACAGTCTCAAGATCAGTATACTTTAAAAAAAAATCAGTAAAAGAAAGCACTAAATAGTCACATTACGCTTTTTGATTTCCAAACATCAGAATCCTAAACTGATGGCATCTATTTTAACTGTTGTTTGTTTTCTTGTTTTTTCTTCAAGAACTAGATGGGAGGGCCTGTGTCTGAGTATGTAGGCATTTTTTTTTCTCCTTGAAAAATCTCCTCTGAAATTTTATTTTTAAATGCAGAAGACAAGCAAAACAGAGAAGTTAGTGCAGTCATGGTCTTGTTTGATATGATTATCCTAACAGATGGCAAAGTAGGTTTCGTTCAAATGCTGCTCGTCTTTCTGTTGGATTAGGTGATGCTGAAGTAGGTTGGTATAGTACTTGAATTGTAACAGGGGAATCGGGTGTATCCTCTAATTCCAAAACTGACTAATGAATCATCACTACCTACTGCTAGATTATAGTAATGCCATCTGTCAGCACTGTTTCCAAGACAACTAGATGAGGATATTTTAATAGCTAAATCTTTTATGTATGAACACAGAAAATACTTCCTCCCTGCTCCTCTCCCTGTAATTCCTTCCCTTGTCCCCACCCCATCAGTTACATCTTAGGGTTCTCTTATGTGATGATGATAATCTTTGGATTAAATTACTCAGCACAGTCCAAGAATAGAATACATTTGTTTTAAATATGTGTTTTAATAAATGATCATTTTTAAAACTGACTTTTAACAAAATTAGTGCCTAAAACTTTAGAAAAAGAATATAACTTGCTAATTGGGTTTTTAGGGGGAAAAAGAACACATGTACCAGAATATGATAGTTAAAAGCTGGAATGGTTTTCAAAAAACTATATACTATTTAAAAATATTTCATATAGCACGTAATATGAAGCAGAAGTTTAGGGTGAATATCTTAGAACAGTTCTATCTAGATGTTAATTAAATATGTCAGTAAGAAGTCTTTTGAAAGAAATTCTCTTTAATGTGGAAAAAATGCATTTGTCCCATATATCATATTCATCATCAGTCACGGTGAAGTATTCATTCCCAAAGGGGAAGATAATGGACTCGGAAAGCCTAGAGGAATGGGAGTTTGTCATTCAATTCAGATGAGCTTTAATAACATTTTGATGAGAAACTAGGTTCCAAAACCCTAAGATTTAGAATTAAGTTGCTACAGATGTATTTAGTTAAAACTGAATCTTTTTAACCTTTCTTTAAGTTTTGAAGCAGGTTAAAATCTCAAACTAAACTTATGGCTATCTTGTGTTTAAATTGAATACTAGGATTGCATTTATCTAATTTTTTTTGGGAAAACTTCTCTTTATGAAGAGAACTGCAACTGAACTACTGGTAGGGGGGCATTTTATACAAAAAGAAAGAAACATGGTACTTAAATGACAGCAACTCTTTAATTTTAAATTGAAATATAAAGGTATAATCTCAAAAATGTTACTTTTAAAAATTCTTTTATGGAAAGCTGGCTAGGAGCGTTGCTTGCAGTGGTTTGCATAATCTCACGTTGTCTGTGATGCAAAGGTACTTTACCAAGCAAGACTGTCCTCTTCTAGATTTTCAGTTTGATTGCAAGACACACATTATTAATGCTATTTAATTTGATAAGATAATGACATTTGAGGATTAAAAACTGATAAAAATTGTTATGACAGGCATAGACTATATTACAAACACTTGACTTTCTTGAATTTATATTATAAACTTGATTTTTTTTTTCAAAATTTATAATTAAGCTAGTAGTTCATAACAACTTTATGAACTGTGCCTAAGATAAACATTCATAATATTTTAAGCGCTTTTACACATGTAAAGCCTCGATCTTAACTTTTCTTGTAAATATCATTTTTATCATAGGGGACAGAAAAAGATTTGATACCAAGATGTTTTGGCCCAAATTATGCTATTCTGGGGTGTTGCTTTGAGACATTTGTAATGGATGAGATAACTCCCATTTACAGGGTAATTCTTAGTATCACTGTGCATCCTGGAAAAAGGCTAGGATCTAGTGATAGTGCACATGAACCTGTATTTCCTTTAGTAAAGGAAAAAGTGGCTTTAAGAGAATCCTAATATTTCAAGAATTCTTTCTATCTCTTCTTTAAAGCTCATAATCGGAGAGAAAAGGATATTACATCTGTTGGTATTTTGGTGCATTGTTTTACTCTCAATCTAAAAAGATACTTAAAGTATTAAATGAACATCTGAAAACGTTAAGATTTGTCAATTAGTACTTTTAGCATCTCAGTAAATCAAGTGTATGAAGCAATTAGTCAGCTGAATTTCTGATACTAGAGGCAGTAACAATGTTATAGCTACCTTAAAAGCTCTCAGTGATAACGCACTAAATATTTTATTTGCATATTTTATTACTGAGGAACACAGTGACGACTGGCAATTTGTTGCTATTTTAGAATCGACAACTAAAAAAAGAAAAAAGCTCAGTTTATTTAAAGCATAGTTGAAGTCCAAGTTTTGAATGTAACCCACTGAATTTATGTTGAGGGAATTGGAATATTTGAAGAGAGTTTTGTTTGGCCATGCAGAGACTCAGTATGTTATGTGTAAACAAAAAAAATGCTACTGGCTTTATGTAGTTTCAAAGAGTATGTATGTATATGCTAAATTCAATATTTGTTATTGGAAGTCAGTATTTGCTGTAATATTTTGTCAAACTCATGGCTTCTGTCTTTTTGTCCGCTTTTTTCTTTTTTTTCTGGGTATTAGTCGGTAGGAAGGGAAAAGCAATCTAAGACTTATGTCATTTTAGAATATCTAATTGTGTGGCCTCTGCCTGATTCTTGCAGTGGTGAGGAGGAGGTTTCCGCAGTTGGAGGGTACGGAGAGGGTGCACCGGCGCGTTTTCTACTCTGACAGTTTTTTCCAGGGTGAAGAACAAGGAACTTAAGCCATCTGCTGTCATAGCTTGGATACCTGAAAGTTGTGATTAATATTTTTTTGATGTATTGGAATGATTTCTTTTCAGACTTTAAACTCTTATCTATATGTGCTTTAGGTACTACAAAGTATGAAACTGAATTTCTTATTTCTTTCATCAAAGCTTTGTGAAATACCTAGATTTCATGACTAGAGATAAATAATGCTATACTTCTCGGTTGCCTGCAACCACGGGGCAGTAGACTGAAGTGTAAGCTGCTATTAATATCCAGGGAAACATCAAATCTGAGAAGTAATGACACTTGTTTTTATGTCAGTATTTGAGCTCTCTCTGTTTAATCTCTTCTTAAGCAGATTATATTAATGGCTCTGCTATTGAGTTGTTGGAAATCATACAATGTAGAAGGAAGACGACCTAATTGGCCACTACGTATAACCTATGTGGTCTGCAGAGAATCACGTTTGTTTTATGTCTGTCTTCTGACTTCATGTTCCATGCAAATGAATGTTCACATGTTTTCTGGGATAGATGGATTTTGATGCCCCTTTTCTGGTCTGAACTAGAATTTGTCTGATATCTTTTCCTCAAAGAAGCTCTGTAAATGCTTGTTAGACTGTGCATTCTGAAAATTAAGCAATAAAACTGAGGGAAGCCTGAGACAGTCCTCCTTTGTAGGAGATCTTCTATTTTAGGATGTTTTAACTGTATATCTCTCTTCTCTGTCAAATACAAGGCAGTATTTTCTGCTTCATCAATGAGTTTCTATCTGGCCAATAAAAAATAAACAATAGTTTTAAGTAGGATGGTCTGGGATAAGTGAGCATTGCTTTGTCTTCATTGTTCAGTCAAGAACTGTAGACGCTTAGTAATACAGGACCATGGCTGAGAAGAGGAAAGATCAACATGGAACACACAGTATTGCTGGCAGGTAGAGACAAAGGTGTATGCAACATGGGCAAACATGGTAAAGCTGCCTGTGGAAAGCGGATGTGCTTAGATGGGTGCAACTGTTGACTTGCAACCAGATGGGTGCAACCATTCCCCCCCTAAAGGAGGGAGGAGAGGAGGTGATTGTAGGAGTCCAAGGGATTCCTTGTAACAGAGGTCATGAGAAATAGCAAATGCCTACGTTCTTCTAGTGAAATCTTGACATATGTAGTGAACTCAAATTCAAGCAAATCTCCCCAAGTAAGTTTTTATAGAGACTGTCCCAGCCTGTCTCAGCAAGACATTTGCTGTAGCTTTTTAGCATGCTCCAAGTCATCAGCTGGAGTATTTTGTTCAGTTAGTGCACTGTAATCAAGAGGTGCAACTCAATTAGGAAAAGTTCTATGAAAAGCAATGAAGATCAGGTATGTATAAAATTTACTATACCCAGAGGGAAGGGGGAAGGAGAAAGAGAGAACTGAAGGACTTGGTAGTGCTTCTTGTAAAGAAAGAGTGACTTTTGACAGTCATAAATGCTTACAGACATTGCCTGTATCTTCTTGTGTCGTCTTAGGATGTTTACTTTTCATTTCAGTTTCTTCTTTTTTCCCATATTGCCTGAATTCTTTAACTTCTGACGGTTTAGCTATTCATAATCTTTTAAAAATAAAAAAAAAAAAATTAGTTTTAACTCCCTAGCATGTTTGTGCTTACTTTCTGCTCAAAAGGTGCAGTGCTGTTTGGAAGTATTCCTTCTGGGCATTCAACATATGGGGAGAACCTGTGGTGATAATTGAAATTTAAGTACTGTTTCTGATGTTAGCTCTCTAAGCATGAGCTCTAGGTAAAGGTCCTGCATCTGATAAAATATAGTGCAATTGTCCAGATCCCGGCACAAGTTCTTCCAAATGTCTTAGTTCTTGCAGTATGCTTCCAGGATCTTAGCTTCCTGGGTACCCCGCAATCATCATTCATTTAGTTTTAACTGCATCAGTGCTGCTTGGATTATGCAAAGTTGTTCTAAAGGAGCATGTAACTTATGATATATGCATAATAGATTCCCCTACTTTTTAACCTCTAACCCCATTTTTACACCTTTAGGTATCCTTAATACTTTGAGAACGTTCAGGGGCCCTTAAGGGACTGCTGTCCCCCTCTGTTTCTCTTTATTCTTGTGTCTGAGAGATTTTGGCTATTCATCTTTCTTTAGGCTCTGAAATTAGTCTTCACTGTAAAATGAATAGGTACTAGAATATTTGTTTTATGTGCTTATATCTTCTTGTCGCATTGTCTGATCTGTTTTATTTGCGCCTTTCAGTTTTATTCCTTAAAGGCTGGCATCTCTTTATTTTAAACAGCTATATAGGAGTAACTAGCCAATTTCTTTGAAAGCAGCCTAATCTTTCTCTGCAGGTCGAGTCATCCATTTGTTATTAGCTGCTTCACAGCAGATCATAGTTTTGGTTAATGATGTTTTTTGGAAAATACATATGCTGATGAATAGAGGTAACTTCTTCCCTCCCCCTCTGAAAGTAGTCTTGCATTGCAGCAAGGCCATCTTCTGCTTCCGTGCAGATGTGGTCTTGTGGTGCCATTCCTTAGCCTTAGTATGTCTTGGCTGGAAGAGATCTCTGGAGGTCACTTAATTCAACTTTGTACTTGAAGCAGGGGTGCTGCCGATCAGGTAAGCCATTTGCTGAAGAACACGTACTGACATGCAAGCCAAACTGTTTTTCACTCTAGCAATGTTCTTATGGTTTTTTTTTTAATAGATATGAGATTTATCAAATGGTAACAGTGTAATTAATTTGAATTAGACTATATACTAAAATAATTGAGAAATACGTTATACTATTTTTTAAAACTTAATTAGAAGCAAATACTGTATTTTACGTGCAACTTAGTTTAAGTCCTGAAATAAAAAATATATATAATTTCAAATGAGGTTCTTTTATAAGTTTACAGTGATAAATGGTTTAGTTCTTTTATGATATTGCAATTCCTATATATATGTGTATATATACACACATACAGCGAACTGTAATAATTTAAATAAAACAGAAAATGGTCAACGGGAGGACGTATTTGGGCCACACAGGAATAATTGATTTGAAAGAAATCTTAGTAATAACTGATTTACGATGGAATATTCTTTGAGGGCACAGATTAGAGAGTCCTTTTGTTCATTGTACTAAATAAATTTTTAATTCATTGCAAGTTTCTACTCCTTTTTAAAATGTTTTCCCTGCAGTGGTGGTAGCTAGCCCCAAGAGCACTGCTTTAAGTTTCTTTAGGACCAAGGTAAAACAAGTAGCTTTAAAATTGAAACTGCTGAATCAGATACTATTTTGTTCTTATATGGCATTTTTCCCCCATTGCATGACAAATCAGTGTTCAAAGGTCTTGCAGCGTATATGTTCTGTATTCATAACAGAAATCTACATACTTTTCCCCATGTAAAGCAGAGCAAAACCCAGTATTTTACAGTGAAATGTGGAATAATCCAAGGTGTTATATGCTACTCTTGAAGATTTTGGTTAACCTTTCAAATGATTAATATGAAAATTTTTGTCTGTACAGCTTTGTGCTTTGGAGCTCATTACTACGTATTGGGAAGCAATGGCATCTATTTGTACAGGTTTTCCCTAAGAACAAACCAGCAAAAACTATAGACATGGTGTGTAAACTGGCTATGTAGGTTGGAGGCCATTTTAATCTCGTGTAAGTTGCTACTGCCACTAAAAATGGTGATCCTGCTCCAGTAGCATCTCCAGTTTTTTAATCGAATTGCTTTTAACTGGACTACCTTTTAGTAGCAATATTGTTTTATACTCACTTAATCTATTCATGGAACTACAGTATAGGATGGGAACATGCAGTTATCAGCTGTATGCACTATACCTCTACTGTAAATATGAGGTCACTGAAAGCTATTTATCCTTTTTTCGTTGAAATCTAAACTACTCTATTTACTGTAGCATAGAGTATGCAGATAGTTTGGCATAAAGGAAATATGTCATGCAATTTAGTTTTCTCAGAGTTGACAGGTTTCTTCTTACCTTAGGATTTTCCATTTTCTTGAACTTCTATGGGTTAGAGAAGTTTCAAGGCAAAGAGAGAAGTGATTTTGAAACTTGGATTGCCGCTGCCTTCTAGTCCAGAAGAGATTACGTTGCCCAAATCTGTCATTCAGGATGTTTTTGTTAACTTTAAATGCTTAATACTAATATTTACCAATACGGATTATTTTTGGCAGAAGTGATTATTTCATTAGGCACGTCACAATGACTAACCTTGTGCATCTAGAATGCCTGGTGGATAAAAAAGGAACAAGCAAATCTTGAATTGTGGAATCTCAGCTTGGTTCAGTAGTGTTTTGTTTTGTTTTTTATTTTTTAATTAAACTAAGAGGAAGGAACCTTCTTTTAAGATTTACTAGATAGGGCTGTGGTGTTCCACACTGTATTTCTTAGTTGTGTAGCCGCTGTCTGGTACTGCAGTAGTTTCACAGCCACTGCTACCAAGTTTGTCTACAGTTTGCTCTTTCCTTTCTTACTCTATACAGTTAATTAATATTGGTGTTAATAGAACATCAGCTTGTTACAAAAGAAGCAATGAGCAGTGTATTAATATATGTGTGTATGTGTATTTTAAATTTGTAGCGCTGGAAAGTGTAAGGTTTACAACCTGTCCACAGATAGTTTGCTCGTGCAGTTTGAGGTTGTTTTCAGTTACGTTTTATCCAAACTCATCTTTTTCCCTCTCCATAGTCAACAGCACTTGATTAGTTTTTCTTACAGTGTTGTAACAGATGTTTCTACTGGTTTGTTTGGTTTGTGGCTTTTTTTTTCTTTTTTTAATCTATTTCTTCCACTTTCAAGTAAATTTTTACTTCTGATTTAATTTTATGTTGAGCATTACTTTTCAGCCATTCAGTTTTCTGGGGAGAACAGGTAGAACCAAAAGTGACGCACTCTGTAAGCCCCATATTTATCAGGTTTTATAATGGCTTTTATAAAATTTTCATTCCTATTCCTCATAAAATAAAATCAGATAAATGCCATTAACACCATTTCTTATATTGCAGATGGCTGGAATACATTTTCTCATCCATATAAGAAAATAGAGCATGGGAAATGGGAGTTATTTATCCCACCTGGACAAGATGGTTACCCTCCTGTGCCCCATGGATCAAAGCTAAAGGTGCTAGTTTTAGAAATATATATATTTTTCAAGTTCTTGTAGGCATTCTTACTTATTATGTCCTTTTCATTTTCTCTTAAATAGTTTTAATTTTATTGTGTTATAATTGTGTTACAGGAAGAGTTTCAATAATTTATCTTACTTGTGCAAAGTGAAATATTAACATCTAATTTTCTTCACGATGCATAGGAACAGGTACATGTGACTGAAAAGTGGATATAGTTTCTTGTATCAAGTTACAAGCTGAAAATAGTATTTATGTGCATATTATACAATGGAAAGAAAAATAAGAATTAAGTAGTGTGTATGTGAAGACTTCCTGTATTTGATACAGCTACTTGTATTTAAGATTCTGTTCAAAACTAAATACCTTTATATTTTTTATTGTTGTATTTTAACCACTGCTTTTCAAGTGTTCTTTGTGTTGTATTATTAACATATGTGACCTTTTTAAATTTCTATCAAACATTTAGGAAGTAAAAGATTGAACAGTTGGCTTAGTACATTTTAGTAGGTTAAACTAAATAAAGAAACAGAAGAAGCTTCTTTATAGTTTTAAGCATCTTATCATTTGTTTCATGAGTATCCATGAGCATAAATTCTTTCCTCCGAAACTTAACGGAAAGTTTCTTTGAGCTGTCAAATGCCACAGTTGTGCTTGGTGCAGATGTACATACTGACAACTAACTACCAGTAGCATTGATATTTATAGATGCATACTGATTTCAGTCGTTGAGATACACTTTTGAGAATTTGACTTACTGCAGTCAGAGCTTCAGGTCTAGACCTATCAGATCATATCATTAGGCAGAAATGAGTAGCTAAGGAAGTAAATGTACTAAAGTCATCTAAAGATTAGAAAAAATAAAAAAAAAAAAGTTGGGAACACTTGTATAAAAGTATTATACTTTCATGGCTCCTATTAAAAATAAAACTAATACATTTAGAAAAATACTAATTTTTGTGTTGAAAATCTAAGCTTAGGGAAACCAGGAATCTTTTGAAACACAAATGCCTAAAAATCCGGTGGAAATGCATGCTCAAAATGTTTGTGTGCATCTCTGCTTTTGTTATGGCAGGCAAAATTGCCCCAATGCTAAATATGGATGAATAGAAAGTTAGGAATATTCATTCAGGGAGGTGAGAAAGCTGTTTTTATTTTACAGAGGAGGGGAGAAAACTGTTGCCTGCGACTCAGATACAGTCGTTATGCAATAATGTATGAGAGGCAGAATGGTTACTTAATATTTTCCATAGTTTTGATATGTAGATAGGTTTTTTGATTGCTGCTCTATTTACCTATTGTTTATATTGTTCTTACATAACTATTGAGCTCATCTACTGTAGAATATTCTATGCTGAGTGTAGAGATAACACATGTGAGTGATGGGGGATGCTGATATTTATTAACTTACATGCACAAAAAGGATATATGCCTAAATGTATTTAGAGTAGGATTTATTTGCCTGTGTCTATAATCATTGTCGTTGCTCCTGTCTTTCAAGTACAGCTCTATAGTATTTATTGTCTTTCCGTTTGCTAGTCTCATTGGAATACAAACTCCGTAAGGCAGACTCTATCATGCAACGTTTGTGTAGCATGCAGGAGTTTTGGTGACTGATTACTCTTGGCAGGGGAAAAGAAAGACTGGCAATAGTTGAGTAGTAGTTCACTAGTGACATTGGTTGCTGGTAGTTCTGTAACTGCTCTGAGTCTTCTGAAAACACGTGAAACTCTTGCTTAGCAGAATGTGATTTGTTTTCCTATTTTCACCCTGACCTGTCTTTAACTGCACTTCTGCGCAGTCTGTTCTAAGCAAAGATGTATGTGAGTCTCAGTGATGGCTACAGTTAACGTGATCACCAAACACATCCATGAAGCTGGATAGTTACCATTATTCTTTCTGCCTATGAGAATGATTGCTTTTGAGTATGCATATTCCTGTCTATTTTAAGTGCAGACATTTAGAAACTTGATTGACAAATATATGTAATAATAATGGATGACTCCATTTATATGGAACTCCTTCCAGCCTCATCTGTCACTTTGCTAATAATCTGTCGTGACACTGTGTTTGCTACTTGGTGCTTACGTAACTGAACATAACAGATTACAACATGTACTTTTAATGTATTTATATACTACAACTAAAGTTTAAAAAAAAAAAAAACTTAAATTGAAGTGATTCTAAAATTGTTTATCCATCACAAAACCCAAAATGAGATTAGGATATTTAACACAGTAGAAATGTATATTATCCTCATCTAGGGATGATCTTTTTCTCTGTCATTCTGCCAACAGACTCAGAAAACTGCTGTCCCTCTGTAAGTTTCTTGAAACCACATGGTTCTGCTGGAGATCAGTCATTTTTTAAACGCATGTGTTTTTTGGGAAGGTTAGGGTTTACGTGGTAGAGTATAACTTTGCAACTCTTCATGCATGTAGAACCTGAGAATTTTGGATGTAAACAGAAGCTACTATGCAGATCAAAGAGCTATTTGAATATATAGGCCCTATTGTCAGGGAATCATACATTTTAAAGTTTATTTTTGTCAATGTAGTTCTTAAGTGTCTATGATTGACTGGTTTAAATACTTAAGCAGTGACTTGATTCATTGGCTAGAAGAAAAGAAGGCACCTCCAGAAGGTCCTTATCGTTAGCTTCTATCTTCAATATTTTCATCTTCAGCTCTACAAAGGCAAATGCTGAGTTCTGAAATGGTGACAAGGTCATTTCTTTTAAATAAGTAATTTCTAAGCCAGAATGGGAAATGCATGGAGTGTAGATAGTGACACTAATTTAGATGAGGTCACAAAATATTTTCGTAGGAAAATGAATGAGGAACAGAGGTCAAACTTTTGTCTCTTTTCAGTAGTAGTAGACTCTCTACTGTAGCTCTTCAGACAGTCTTCTCATAACTAAGCATAGACATTGAAGAAGGTGAATAATTAAAAACCCCATTTTAGATATTTTGATACATTTCTGTGTCAAGGGATGAGTGCTTATAACACAAGTGAGGTTGATTCCCTTGTGAATTATGACATCCATCTACAAAATAAAATGACCTGATGGAAAAAGACACTTTTTTTTTTTTTTCCTGCTTTGGAAATACCTAGCTCAGGATTAGTGGAGAGCTTAGAATAAGTCATTTTGCTGAGCAAATAGAGTTTTGTTGCTTGTGATGGAAATGTCATAAGTGAAGCATAGTTTAAAAAAGAAAAAAGCACATAGCCTTAAAACGGTGAGGTAAGGGGATACCCTCTCTGTCTTTTTAATAAACAGAATCTCTGTGTACTCCTATTTCTTTTTTCCTAATGGAGAATTAATTAATTCCTTTTTTTGAGAATATGATAAGCTTTTACGAAAATTCAGAGGGATAGGCTTCCTTAGCAAGTCTCCCAGTATTTTAGAAGTACTGACCCTTCTATCTTTTTTTATTGGGAGATCTGAATAGCTGAACCATGAAGTTGTCTTCTCTGCATTAGAAAGGACTTACTAAAATAGTATTAATTGTTCAGCTTTTCTGAAATGACTTGGCAGAACAAGAGTTTTATATATTAGTAATAAATTTACCTGATGTTTTATCTAACAGCTTGCTAGGTGTAGATGCATGAAATTAAAATACTGAATACAATTAAATCTTATCTATACATTCGTTAAATCTAGTATAATGTAACTGATTCTGGGTTATGCTTCTCTTGAGATACAAAAGTAAGTGTCAGGATAGCTGACATGCCTCTGTAATGTACTTTTACCAAAAGCATGGCAGAGATTAGGAGACTGTCCATACAATACCAATGATGACTCAATTTGTTGTTGTTTTTTATTTTACTTTTTTACTTTTTTTGAAGTTATGTGCATTAACTACTAAGGGGTAGATTTCTTTGATAGCTTGTATATAATTGAGTGCGGATAGGTAATATATAATTAATTTTCATCTACGAAAATCCAACAGGCAACTGAATGCTATCATTAATTTTAATTGTTTTTTTAAACAGATTTTTTAACACGACAGCAACCTTCATAATTTGTCTATGTATGTTGAGCTAATTATACAGAGCTCACGAAACAAATCATATAAACTTTCTCTGGAAAGGTCACATTTGAAAACAATGATAGGGAAAAAAAAATAGATTTTTAAACTGTGCATTCCATTGTTCACTAAATTTCTGTCCTTGAAGAAAGGATAGAAATTGTGTGTGTGTGTGTGTTGTTTTTATTAGACTTCGTAGTGGTTTTTTGAGGGATTGTTTTCTATTGTAATGAAGTGGTTACATTTAATATTTGGTGCACATACTAATATTCTTTCACTGATATTTTGGACTCTTGCATATTTCAGTAGCTTCAGTGGTTGTTGAATAATGCTCATTGGTGCCGAGTTTGGTACAGTGCTGGGGCTGGCACTGAGAACAGCAAGTCGCAGTTTATACAGATATTGTACAGGTTTACTACTGCTGACCTTGAGTAGTTTTGAAGTCCAAACGTGTAACTGTCATTAACATTAAAGGATGCAAAGGAGGAATAAATGCCTGTTTTTAAGTAAGAACACTTAGGATACAGTAGTCGTGAGTAGAAGTGCCTAAAATCTGTACCCACAAGAAGTGTGGGGGAGGATAGTTAGTTAATTATAAAGAATGTTATCAAATAAGTAAGTAAAAACTGTAAAGATAAACTTTTGATAATTCATAGTAGATCCATGTTTGATTTATAAACCTTGAAAGGGAATGGAATGTGTTTAGCAAGTAGGTTAACTAGTGACTGGGAACCATTCTTAATAAATTGATCAAGTATAATTTCTGTTGATAATGAAGTAGATGATGGTGCAACTGATCTTGCTGATCAGGAAACCCAATAGCGTGGTATCAGACTGGTTTTAAGTTCAGGTCTTATATGTTTCAAGCAAAATTGCAGCCACACATGCAAGTGTTTTAATGTGAAATCCCAGAAAATTTTGATTATGGGCTGGCAATTAAGATGCTAGATGTAGAAGTGTGTATGT